GACTCTTAACACACCCCCTCACGCTCAGGACTGGACAACTGAAGCGTGGAAATAAATGGTGGGTGGCCCGATAGCGGAAACCATAAAAGGTGACCCACCAGATCTTAAACGAGGCTCTGATACCATATGAAAATAAGTACAGGATAAAAAAAAGGATAACCAATTAGGTTTCCTATAATTGAATTCAATTCTTCACACTTATTAATCGTACAATGAAAGACATATATATAAGAATTGCCACTAATTTAGCAGTAACAGAAAAAACAAAAAAATAGCTATTGATAATAGCTACATAATTAGTAGTAAAGTAGATGCATATTTTTAGGCATAATAACAGTAACCGATGAACACTTTTAGTCATAATATGTGCATATGTTTTATTAGCTCAATATCCTCCCTCAAGCTGAAGCATTATAGATGTCTATCATGCCAAGCTTGGATAAAAATGAGTTGAATTTTGGAGGGGCCAAAGCGCTCTTCATATTGCTTCCAATCCCGTGTTTCATGAGAGAACAAAGCATCTTGAAATAGATTGTCATCTAGTAAGGGACAAGGTTCAAGATGGTACTCTTAGACTTTTACCAATTTCATCACAAGAGCAGTTGGCAGATTTTCTCACAAAGGCTTTGGCCCCTCCAAAATTCAACTCATTTTTATCCAAGCTTGGCACCATAGACATCTATAATGCTTCAGTTTGAGGGAGGATATTGAGCTAATAAAACATATGCACATATTATGCCTAAAAGTGTGCATCGGTTACTGTTATTATGCCTACTTTACTACTAATTATGTAGCTGTTATCAATAACTATTTTTTTGCTTTTTCTGTTACTGCTAATTAGTGGCAATTCTTATTTATATATCTTTCACTGTACGATTAATAAGTGTGAAGAATTGAATTCAATTATAGGAAACCTAATTGGTTATCTTTTTTTATCCCGTACTTATTTTCATAATGGGTTTGATAAATGGTTCAAATTTTACACCATGGAGTACATTATAAGTTGAATTTTCAGCTTAACCAGAACCTTCAGTAGTGCATGTGCTCGCCAGAAACATACGAAGCTCAATGGTATCGAGACATATTTGTGGCTAAGGACGGTTTGTTACAGTTGATGACGAATTCAACAAGTAATAAGCCGTTGAATTTTCAGCTTAACCAGAACCTTCAGTAGTGCATGTGCTCGCCAGAAACATACGAAGCTCAATGGTATCGAGACATATTTGTGGCTAAGGACGGTTTGTTACAGTTGATGACGAATTCAACAAGTAGCCATGAGATCTAGGACAGTCATACACCTGCAGAAGAAGAAGAATAGAATCTTAGCACATGAAAATACAATACTACAGTTCAAATTGGAACAGAAGATTTTCAGCTTCCAAAATAAAATCCAACATGGTTTCAAAAATAAAACAACATGTTTCAGACCAAATCATCATCATTAATTACAAGTCTCAAAACATGTACCAAACAAAATCGGGTGGAAATGGAAAGCTCATAATTGCAAATTCATGAAGCAAGAATCAGAATCATCACAGCTCCTATTTTTTTTCTAAAACAAACTCAGATATATTGATGCGAAAATGGAAAGAAATTCATCATTCATCAATACAAGACTGCAGAATTCGATTCTTCAAATGGATATAAAGAGGGCAGAATATCACATCATACAGGGGATCAGTACACAAAAACTGAGAATAAAATTCACACACAGCAGTATTCACACGAAGGGGAATCATTAGAAGCATACTATCATTACACATACACACATAGCAGAAAAATACACAGGAACATCAGTGAAAAATATGCAGACGATTTGAAAAGGAGATACACACACCAGGAAGAAAAGCATAGCAGCATTACATTACAACACGCATACGCTATAACAGCCGGGGATCAGAACAGAACGTCACACACACGCATTGCAGAAGATAAGCAGCAGAGCATATACAATACAATACATACACGAATTGAAGCAGAATCATACCTTCAGGTAATCCTATATCCCAATATGGTTCCTTTCCGTAGCTCGAATTGCGTCGATTTCGAATTTGATTGCGAAGCCGCGGAATCAACGAATTGAAGGAAATTAACGGAGAGAGGCAATTGCGCCGCCGTCGCCGGCAAGAGGCCATGACGCGACGGGTTGCTCATCTTATGACGATGCCTTTGTGCGAGAGGGAGAAGCTTAGGCGATGCGTGTGTGAGCAAAGTAGAGATGATGAGTCAAGAGAAGAACCCGCGACGGAGGGTGTAGCATTTTCGGCAACCGCGCGAGCGAATGGCAGATGAATTTTTCGCGCGAGCGAATGGCAGATGAATTTTTCACGCGAGAGAGAGACAGCTGGGTGAAGAAGAAAGAAATGCGAGAGAGAGGAAAGAACTGTGATGCTGAGCTCTTTGAACATCATGTTGTGGTTGTTGGACGGGCCTTAGTTCTTCAAGCCCAAGTGTTTTTTGTATCCTCTTTCAAACAAAAAAAATGTTTAGGCTTAGTACTATTGGCCCGTTGTGTTTTTTCTCTTCACACTCATGACTTTAGCATTACACCCTCTCTTTTCAAATAGAATTTTAATTTTATATTTTAATTTTTACAACAAATTTTTAGATATAATTTATTAACCTTGATTAAATGTTAATTTTATATTGATTTTGAAATTTTAATTGATTAAAATCATAATTGACTAAAGGACAAAAACGTAGTTGGAGGGATTAAGGGTCTGATTGTTTTAGGAGAGATACAAGAGAGGAAAGAGTGTCAAACTCTTTTGTAGGGGTGGACAACCGTCGGATGAAGTCGGTCCGAAAAGTGTCATTCGAAAGAAAACCGAAAAGAAAACCGAAGACCTTGAAAATAAAATCATTTCCGACGGTATCATAAACAGTTATCATCGGTTTCGGGTTTGGCGGAGAATCGGGTATGTCAGACGGATTGTTTCGGTTATAACTCTTAAGGTAATGTACAATTTTCTCTTGGTTACTCTTTCTAATAATTTCATAGGAGTCTTGAAGAAGGTGATTTTCAATGTTTTTGGTAACACTTAATGAAGATTATGATGGATGGCGAACAAATCTAATGTAAAGATGAGATCAGTGTGAACATAAGATGAGTTTGATGGAAGAAGTAGTAATCAGACATTTATATTAGTTAAAAAAATTGAGTTTGTGAAGATGAGAAGAAACATATATGAAATAAATGGCTATGCAATATTGAAGATGAGTTTGTGAACATGAGAAGATGAGTTTGATTTGAAAAATAAACTAGAAACTTGAGAGAGAAAATAAATTTTAATTTAAAACAAATACAACTTGTTTGTAACATGTGAGAGAGATATTGTATATTAAGAGTAAAATAAAGTGATTGAAATGATGTGGCTCACAGCATTAATAAGTGTAAAAGAAAAAATATTAACTAAAAACTAGGAAAGATATTGTAATCAATGACTACTAAAATTACATTGAAAACAAGCTAATTATTTGTAATGTTAAACTTGTATATCAGACGGGTTCGGATAATAACAGATACAATTTTATAAACTGAATCCAACCGACAAAATTCATGTTTAACCGCTTTTCGCAACATCTGAATCCGTGGCTCAAACCGATCCACCCATAACACTCATAAATATTTTGATTTTCTCAATTTTCGGTCGGGTGATTGAGATCTATCTACCCCTACTCTTTTGATTGGTTTGAAGAGAAATTGAAAAGAGAGAAAGAATAATGGTGGATCCCATTAGTTTTTCTTTTCTCCTCTAACTTGGGAAGATAGTGGAGAGAGAACACTATTCAATTTTTGTTCTAGCATTGCTCTTTTCAATTATTTCATAAATTATCAACATTAACAATTTTCAATTGTATGTATCACAAACGAAAAATGTTCACTTTATACTAAAAAAAAAATATTTTTTTAAATCTTATTTTGCACAAAATAACCACATTTACGCAACGTAGACTCTAAAACACATTAAAAGAGTGTTATAAATATTTTTTTTCTCAAACATAACAATAATATTGAAATATACTATTATTTCCCTACTTTTTATTAAAATAAAATAAATTTAACTGAACTAAATTATATCAATATGATAACTTAATTTGTTATAAAAATATTATAACTTATTTAAATCAACTTAAATCAATTTAAATCAATTCATTCAAATAATTTGTTTATTTTAATTAAAATTTTTGTAAGTAAAATAAAATAAAAAAGTTAAATTAATTTTAATAATAAAGTAAATTTAAAAAATAAAATATTTTATATAAGGGTGTTTTTGTTTTTTTATATATTATACACATCTCTTTCTCTTTTACATTTGGGGAATGCTATCAAGTGCCCTGAGGGGGCTGATTAAGGAGCATTAAATTAGCTATGGTCCCATCTATTTTATTGTGAAATGAACAACAATAAATTATTAATTAAAATTGAAACGTGTGGTATACACTACTTTCCCATATTAACAAGACTTCCTATCAAAAAGTGACTACTCGCGCATCTGACTCATTCTTTCTCTTTCTTAAATAAATTGTTTTTTATTTTGTTTGTAGCCATAATAAAAAAAACTTTAGAATAAATATTAAAAAATGAAGGTAAAACGTTTCAACTAGCTAATATTTTAGCGGGAACCCACTCACTCTACAATATATACTGTACATAAAAGACAAATGAATTTTTTGTTGGTTTTCTCTACTCACAAATTTTCAGTAGAATGTTAATGAGAATGGAAATCTAAATGCTTCAATTCAACACAAAGGCAATCAAATTCTCATGCTTAACCGATAATATTCTTAAACTTTAATTTAATTTTTTTTATATGTATGATATAGTGTTTATAGTAATATACTGATTTGTATGATATAAAATTGTTATTTGTAGATAGTAATATAAAAAAGTTAATTGTATGATAGAGTGTTACTATGTATATACATAGTGATATAATTATTGTTTTGATATATTTGTAGGTGATAATGGCATAATGGATATTAGTACTTCTATAGACATGAGTAACAACAATATAAGAAATTTTGATTTGAACGAATGTTCAGTGGAAGATTTTTCTGTGGAGAATGATTATTCGGAAGTAATCGTTGAACATTTCGATTGTAATATTGGGGAGAAAGACGTGTTAGAAGGTGACATTATTAGTAGTATTGAGAAAGAAAATCTTGTATCTTCTAATCAGAATGTTGAGATCAATGAGTTTTTAGAAGAAGTTGATAATGGTGGAGCGAGTAATGAGACAAATATTCTTCCTTTTGTTGGTCAAATTTTTCTTAGTGAAGAAGAAGCATTTGTCTTTTACAAGAGATATGCATATCAACATGGATTCTCAATTAGAAAGGGTAGATTCATCAAACAAAATGGAATTATTAGCCGGCGAGATTTTTTTTGCCATTGTGAAGGTAAAGTCCCCTTGAAAATCATAGAACCATCAAAAGAACAGCGAAAAAGAGAAACATGTAAAGCTCATTTGTGAATTTTATTACAAAAGTCTCATGATATATTTCCAAGTGAATGGCGAGTTACAAAGTTTGTTGTTGAACATAACCATGATTTGCTAACCCAATCAGAGCTGCGTTTTTTATCGGCTTATCGAACTATCTTAGAAAATGATTATGAACACATTTTCTTATTAAAAGAAGGAGGGCTTTCAGTTAGACAAATAATGCGTGTCATGGAGCTAGAGAAAAATGTGAAGCATGGTTATCTTCCATTTATGGAGAAGGACATTCGCAATTTATTTTTGAAAGCTAATAATTTTTTTGAAAGAAGTGATGTTATGGACCTTCTGAAGTATTGTGAGGATACAAAAAAGAGTTGTTCTAAATTTCAATATGCTTATACTCTTGATGAAGAAAGAAGGTTAGAACATATTTTTTGGTCTCCTGCTTCTTGTTTTGATTGGTACACAAAATATGGCGATGTTGTTGTATTTGATACTATATACAAGGTCAACTCATATGAAATGCTGTCGCTACTGCGAAAATCGGCGCCGGCTGACAGAAGAGTCGCCACCGTGCGTTATTTATCCCAACGGAGGGAAAGGAAACGCTCGAAGTAAACCTCGCAAAAAACGGGAAAAGGTATGGTCGTCGCAACCATAACCTGGGTTCGGGAGTCGGTTACGCAAGGGGAAGGTATTAGCACCCCTCACGTCCGTCGTACTCGACGGGATCCACGCTTGCTTGGGTTGTCTAAAGGATGCAAAACAATCTATCTACGGCTGCTAAGTCTAAACGGAAGGGAATTGACTCGATAGAGCGTCGCACTCTATGCCTACGTATTCTCGAGAGAGAAAGTAAGAGTCAACGTAGTTCGGGAAACTACAGGGAATTGGCTCGCCAAGACTTCGCGTCTTGTGCCTACGTACTTCCGCACAGCATGGAAGATCAGAGCTTTCGTAGTTCAGGCTAACTACGGCTAGGCTGGGTGTTCTCACACAGGAGTGAGAAATAAAACTGGTTGCAAAGGTACGGGAACCTATGGGAAATAAAACTACGGTCTGGTCTCAAATGCACTCGGGCAAGAGAAAGGATAACATCAGTCGTCAGCGGGAAAGTCTCGATCGCACCGCAACGAGAGAACAAAAGAGTTAGTTGTTAGTGTGCTCGCTAGGATATCGCATCCTATGCCTACATATTCTCGTCTGGTACGAGAAATCAGAGCAGCTGTAGTTCGGCTACTTTCGGGACCACAACTCAAATCTCGTTTTATTAACATTCTGAAAAATGGTTACAATGATTGAGAACTGAAAAGTAAACTCCTAGAAACTATCCAACTATCCTGAAAAAAAATCAAATGGAAAATAGTCCCCTAACAAGTGGACTTCTAAAACTACCTCTAAAAAAAGGCATAAAAGAATTCTATGAAGAAAAATATCCTAAAAGAAATATTAAAATCTTCAAACTAACATTTTTATTCTATTTTTTTGCTCTTTTTTCTTCTATTCTTTTTTCAATCTTTTTTCAATATTCTTTTTCACTATTTTCTCTTTATTATTTTTCCTTCTTCTTTTTTCTTTTTTTCCATATAAAAACCTAAACAAATGAATATAAGAGAAAAAATAAAAGAAATACAAAGGGGGTGGGGGTACAACTGAGTACAGGGGAGTTACAATCTTGCAGAAAAATAAATGGGCCCAGCCCAGAAAAAATAATCAAACAAAAAACTGGGGAGGGGTGTGCTACTGAAACTGGGTAGCAGTCAGCAAAACCTTTGGGCCCAGCCCACTTCGCCAAAAACACACAGCAGGAGGGGGAGAACGAAAATGGGGGGGTGTTGCCAGAAAAAAAACCAAAGGCCCAAAGCCCCAAACTCGGTCCAACCTTCATTCAGAAGACACAAAACCCTAATTTTTTCTTTTCACCCTTTACTGTTCATAGCCGTCACCACCATACTCACCCTCATCTCTCTCCGTTTCTTGCTTTCTCCACCAAATCGTACCAAACAAGCTCATCAAACTGATATCAACAAACTAAAGCTCACAAACGGATTGCTACGATCAAAGATCTATGTTGATCACCGTTACAGTTAGAGATTTGCGAAGAAGGTCTAAAAGAGACTCACGAGGATTCCATGACTTTCTTGGTGAAGACGGACAACGAAGGTTGAAGATGAATGTATCCATGAGCGTGAATGGAGATCAGAGAGATCTTGTTGATCTTTGATGGAATCGCTTGAAAATCCGAAGTTGATGTTGTTGTTGATTGCGAGTTCAGACGGAAATTGGTGATTCATAGATCTGGACGAAGAAGATGTTGTTGCTTCATGAAGGCGCTTGGAAGTTCTTGGACGAAAGCTTTTGGAAACGGTATGAAGATCTTGGATCTTGATGAACTCAAGAACGGTTGAAAACCTAGCGAACTCGAATGTGAAGATTGATGGTAATTGATGATTTCTGGAGAGATTGATGAAGGTGATAAGTTTCTGAGGAATTTTCTAGGGAAATGCTTGATGAATCGTATGAAGGTTCTTGGAGATCTCGGATGAAGTTCTTGAGTTTGATGAGTTTTCCGGCGTACACATGAATTTTCCGGCGGATTTGGAGATGGATCAGAGAAATCTGGAGGAATGTTGGTGATTGTTGGATGCGTGTTCCTGAGTTAGATGAGTTTTCCGGCAAGATGGCTAACTCCGGCGACAGATGCGGTATCGATTTTGGCCGTATTGATTTCTCCGGCGAAGTGTGGCCGGAGTTTGCATGCGGTTGATGTGGTGACTCCACCTCAAGGGGTAACGTGGCGGGCATGCGGAGAGAGAGACTGCATGGAGGACGTGTGGCTTGGTGAGGGTTGAGGTGAGGACAGGTGTGAGGAGAGGGACTTGGTGGAACCGTGAGGTGGCAGCTGGAGAGAGAGGGAGGAAATGAGGTGGCGTATTCTGGGTGAAGTGAAAGAAAGTGATGTGGCCCTCTCTGAAATGAACGCGTGGCTTTGCTTATATATTGACACATGGCGCTGGACAAAAAAGGACTGAGATGAAATGGGCCTCCAAAAAAAGACTGGGCCCAAACGAAAATTAGGCTAATTGGACTGAATGAAAATGAAAACTGATCTGAATTAAACTAAAGACCCAAATTAAGACCAATAAAATCTGAATTAAAACTAATTAAAAAGCTAATGCCTAATTAAAATCTAATCAATTAAAACTAACCAATTAACTATAATTAAATCTAAACATTAATTCTAATCAACTTGACCCTAATTAAACCTAGATTAACATCTAAGTAACCACTAAGAATCAATATTCTAAAAATCTAAAAAACTATTAAAATCTATTAAAATCTATATTAATATCTATTTAAAAATCTAGAAAAAAGATTAATGCTTTTTTTTAAAAGATTTTTTATTTTCCTAAAATGATTTAAAACCCAAACTAATATCTAAAAATCTATTAAAACTCTAATAACAGCCAATAAAATCCAGAAAATTCACAATAATTCCAGAGGGAACAAAAAAAGCACAGAACGAAAAATAGGACCACGAGAGCGCACCGGAATAACCGGTAAAAATAAACGGACACCGAAATATCCCTAAAAATAACAACGAAAACTGAAAACACCGGGAAGAGCACACCTTCCCAAAAATACGACTCTGCTTACCCGAACTGAGCTTGCTAAAAACACCTGAGACGCGAGACGAGGGCTGTGATCCTGATAAAATCAATACAACTGAAAAAATGCACTGTATGCGATATGCGAATGCGGTCATGCATCGAAACATAGAGCCAGATACAGGACCCGGTTGGTCAAATTTTAGGGTGCAACAGTTGCCCCTATTCAAGCGGCTTGGACCTGAATGGTTGAAGAGCGCTCAGCCTTCAAACATTCAAAGGTAGAAGACGGTTGAATACCAATGAAACCCTGAAATTTGCCAACCGTGGGAATATACTGCAAACTGCTTGAGGAATAGCCTCCAATGAACTGAAGTTTGGTTGTCACGGCAACAACTGGTCAATTATCTGATAAAAATTTCTCTCCTTTTCAACATCAATCACCTGTGCGACGCCATAAGTATTGGAATAATGCTTCGAAAAGCAAACAACTTGATTCCCATCTTACCTATGGGATCAAATCCTGTCATCTCACAGTTCGCGGCGAACTTGAGGACAATTCTCCTGGGGAAATTTTGAATCGACTGCTCGGCACCCATTCTGTCAACAGGAGTCAGCTTCAAAAATCTGATATATGTCAATCTTTTTTTAGTGCCGACGTAACAACCCAAATGTGAAGAATCACTCTGCTGGGGGAGAAGGGAAGCTTAACCACACAACTCTGCAAGGGAACATACTCGAAAGCCATGAGGTAACCAACCTGGTCCATGTTTCGAAATGTGTATATCTGAGAATGATGCAATGTCCTATACGGCATGGAAATGCTATATGTTTGTATAAATGCTATGACGATATATGCAAATGCTAATGCAGGCTCGAGCTGCCAGAGAACACCAGGTCTGCAACCACTTGGCAAAATAAATGCCGAAGATAGACGTCAACTCCAACTGAGGGTAACCTGATATCACAGAATCATCTCAGCAACATAAATGTTGGAAAAGGGAAACCAAATCCGCTGGGGATAACTATCCTGCTGGAGAAATGGAAAGGCAACTCTGCTTGGGGAGAAAGAAAAAACAACCCTGCTTGGGGATGCTCTCTTCAAACCATTGGCAAATGATTGTGCTTTGGGGGGATTGACCCAAACTGGGGTTGATTGCGCGCAGCACGCGGCTGGAAATGCCCCTACTATCAAGGATATCAATCTTAATCTGCTGGGGGATACTCCTGATCCTATTCTGATGCGGGGTAAAATGCAATCTCAACTCTTCCGATAATACACCATTTTCATCTGCTGAAGAGTAGCAATTCTGATTTAACAACATCCACAAGGAATTCAAACATTAATCGGAGCACTGGTATCCGTCGAGCTTCGTATCGGGGAACATGACAACATGCGAGTCATTGGGAATTACTGTGTCAGAT